TGGGGGAGGTGAGGGTGTGCAGGTCTGAGGCCAGTGAGGGCATGCAGGGCAGAGGGGTAGATGGGAGGCTGCGGGACCTGGGGCTTCCAGACCCCAAGGTAAGCTTTTCTCCCCGGTGGGCCTGAAGCCTTTGCGTCAGAACCACTCAAGTTGCTCATTAGAATCGAAATCTCTGGTGCTGTCTAGGCTGGCTCAGACTGCATTCCCCCAGTCTGCCTGCCATTCTTTAGAGCTGCGGCTGTGAGGAGCCAGCCTGGGCTGGAGGCAGCGGGGCAGGTGGGGGTGAGAAGGGCTGGAGGCAGGAGGGCAGGTGGGGGTGAGAAGGGCTGGAGGCAGGGGGCAGGGCTGAAATCCTAGCAGGTAAGCAGGGCCCGCCTTTCCCTGAGCCTCAGGGGTCCCATTCCTCAATGGAACCTCACTTCCTGCCTGGCCGCTGCTTCTCAGGGGCCAATGGCAGCGAAGGCGGACACACTGGACCTGCCATGCTCCGAGCTTTACAAAATCAGCTCATCTCCTGCTCCCGGCCACCCTCGGAGGTAGAACAATTATTATCCCCATTTTTCAGATAGGAATCCCTGAGGCACAGAGGGGTGGAGTGCCTTGTCCAATATCACACAGCTAGTAAGGGGCAGAGCTGGGATTTGAGCCCAGGCCATCTGGCTCCAGAAGCCATATTATTAACCACTACACTATTAACCACTCTCGCTGATGGTGGGGCCTGGAATTCTGGGTTTTGAAATGAAGTGCATCCCCAACCAGAGCTCCCCGGGGCCAGCAGGCCGCAGACCTGTTCGGCAGGAACATGGAGAGGGAGCAGGCCAGAGGGTTGGCCATGGAGCTGAGGGTGGCGGACAGGTGGTAGGCTACAGGCCCGTAGGACAGGCAGGAGTACGTCTGCACGGAGGGCAGCACGCCGTTGGTGAGTGCGTTCACAAAGGCCACCAGCCCGTAGATGAAGAGCAGGTGGGCTGGGTAGCGGGAGGCCGCTTTCTCCTCCGCGGGCTCCTGGCTCATACTGCTGTCCGCCGGGGCCGAGGGGCCCAGGTCATCGCTTAGTGGCCGGATAGAGTACAGGGTGACCTGGGAGGTGAGGAGGTCTTCTGTGGAGGTCTTACAGCGCCTGGGGTGGCGCTGGAGGAGGGAGAAGGCGAGGAGGGAGCAGGTCATCATGAAGGAGAGCAGCAGAAAGAAGACCAAGGGCGAGAAGTGGGCAGGGAGGTAGCGGCTTTCCAGATGGACCACGGTGGGCGCCGTCCCCGTGAGGTCAGGCGCAGGAGTGCTGTCATTTCCCTGGGGAAGACAAAGCAAGGGTTATTTCCCCTGGGTGACGCTGGGACACAGGGGAAATCATTAATAATCATTAACAACCCATTCGATGCATTATTATTCATTAGTATGTGATGAATAATATACACATAACAACGGAAGTCATGGTAATCAATGCTCATATTGACAGACTGCTTACTGGGCACCACACCTCACATGCAACAGCTGGTGTGCACCTCCTAACAGCCCCCTCCACCCCCCCCGACTCACTCTGTGGTGATGTGGCCTGGTGTGGCTCAGTGGTTGAGCATTGACCTGTGAACCAGGAGGTCACAGTTCGATTCCAGGTCAGGGCACATGCCTGGGTTGTGGGCTCCATTCCCATAGTGGGGCAGGCAGGAAGTAACTGTTTAATGATTCTCTCACATCATTGATGTTTCTATCTCTCTCCCCCTCTCTCTTGCTCTCTGAAAAAAGTAAAAAATATATATATATATTTTTAAAAAGAGCTGCCAGCCCTAGCTGGTTTGGCTCAGTGGATAGAGTGTTGGCCTGCTGACTGAAGGGTCCTGGGTTCAATTCTGGTCAAGGGCACATGCCCGGGTGGGTTCGATCCCCATTGGAGGACATGCAGGAAGCAA